TCTTTTAAAATTGTACAGTTGTAATATAAATGCAATATTTTCTATAACTATGCTAGTAGCTGTCTTGAGTTATTTATTCTGAAGGCTTTATTTATTTATTTGGCTGTTTATTTACTAACCATTTTATTGGCATATCCTACAATTCCGTAGTTCAATCATATTAATAAGAGTTGTATAATCATCACCACACTCAATTTTAGAATATTTCTTCTTTCTTGTACTCACTGTTATTAGCTCCCCATTCCCCCCAATCTCCCCTGCCTAACCCCAAAGATACCATTAATCCAGTTACTGTCTCTCTAGATTTACCTACCCTGTATTTCATATTCAGGGGGAAAAAATAAAAATAAAACTAACAACAACAGCAAAGTAAAACAGAACAACATCAACAACAAAAACAGAAAATATTGAAAGCTAGAACAAATTTAAAATGGGTCAGAAGGGAGATCAGATGATAAGCTATTACATTTCAGCTTCACTACATCTGGCATCACCGCGCCTACAGTGCTCTTGACATGAAAACAAGACTACTGGCATCCCTGAACTACGGTCAGAGGGGATTTACCAGTGGCTGCATTCATGTGTGGACCCTGCAAATGGATTTTGGACTTCCACTAACATCTACAGCCTTCTGCAAACCGATGTTCACAGTTTCAGCTCTGATACCACGCCCTTCTTCAGACTTGGGTTTTATCATTTACAGTCTTTGGATCACACAGGCTGGTCTGCTTCTTCCATGTGGACTTAGTTGACGCCTCACTGAGATGCCTGCTTGTTTGAACAAACCTTTAAGACCCCAGACTCTGTTCTTTCCGTTAGCAGGGTACCATCTGGTTCCTTCACCGACTCTGCTACAGCACCCATCTCTTCAGTAGTCACATCGTGAGGGTGCGCATTGAGCAGGACTGTGTCTTAAGAATTCATTATTCTTAGATTGGGACTAGAAGTGTGAAGGCTTTGTATCTTTAAATGCAGACTTTTAACATTCCCAGTGTTTAAAATGGGCTGAAGCATGCCATGGCTTCCTAAAGCTTAGCTTTTCAAGAAGTCTGTTTGGCACTCCTTCGTGTATATGGAGGATGACATTTTCTGGCAGAGGGGCACACTGTTAGAGCTCAGCCTCTGCTAAGACTGCCTGGAATACCCTTTGAAGAGGAAGTGAATGAGAGCCAATGCTTGGGAAGGGGGGTGTGAAATCTGAGAATGCCTCAAACCAGACCATTTTTATTTGAAGGGGCCATGTATCGTCCTTGAACAGAAATGAGATCCAGCGCGTAGGGCTGGTGTGATGCAGTTGGCACTTGCTGGCCTGCAGTCTGTGGTGGACGGCCTTAGGGCTGCTCTGACCTCGCCCTTCACCATTCCAGAGGTCAACAATAAAATGTGTTGGCCAGCACTTTTCCATTTGCTCTGTCATCCCATTGGGTTTCCAGTCAGAGCTAACATATTTCAACCGGAATGTGTTTAACCATTTTTGTTGTAGTTCATCTGTTCAGATAATGAAGAGGAACTTGACACTTGGATTTTAATCACCTTCTTAGAGGGAACATACTTAGAGGTATTGGGCACATATTGCTATGAGGTGGGAAGATTTATGATTATGAAATATTCATCTAAAGAACTTGGCAACAGATAAAGTGATCTAAGTTCTTTATAACTGTTTTCTCCTTTTCTAATTCTCAAAACAAGCTTGGTTGAAATAAGACCCAAACCCACTACCATCCAGTTGATTTCTTGAATCAGAGAGAACAGAGTAGAACTGCTCCTCAGGCCTCCCAGGGCTGAAGATCTCTGTGGAGCGAGGTTGCCTTCTCTGTCTCCCACTGAGCAGCTGGTGGGTTGGAACCACTCGTTTTTTGAGCAACACTGAGGCACTAGGGGTCACATTAAAAAAGAAAAAAAATTAAGAAAAACACTGCTAAATGAATATTAGATTATGACTATGGTTGGCAATTCGTTGCTTCCATTTTGACTTGGATGCGCCTCCTTTGGAAAAGGAGTCCTGGTGGCTGCTAGCCACATGATCAGCCGTTCAAAACCACCAGCGACTCCATGGGAGAAAGATGAGGCTTTCTGTCCCCATAGAGATTTGTGGCTGCAGAAACCCATGGGGAAGTTCTGCTGTGCCCCGCAGGGGTGATGAGAGTTGGCGTGTTTTATTCCTGTGATTGCACTCCCTGTCCTAGGCCAGCATTAGGCAGACTGTAGGGCCAAGTAAAGGGTGCAGTGGGTTATGTGGGCTCCATCCGCAGACTCAGTAGACAGACCTCCCCTCCCTGGGGAAGATGAGGCTTTCTACCCCTGTGCCCCAGACACGCCTAGAGCAGTTCTCTGCCCCGTAGGCTTGCTCTGAGCTGGAATCAAGTAGGTTCCGAGGCAGTGAGCTTAACATCGGGGAGGTTCCCTGATGTCTTCTACTTGATGTCTCAAGGCTTAATGCCTCTGGGCTTCTTTTTCTTCATGAGGAAAGGGGTGATAGTAAGAATACCTTTTGAGATAAGCCTTTTGAGGTAGGTACTCTTTACCACCATTTTGCTGATAATGAGAAGAAGCCTGGAAGATATTAATTTTCCATATATCACAACTGAGCTACCAATCTCTACTACTGATGGCTATTGGGGCGTTGCAGGTTTGGAGCTACAACTAATAAAATGTTAACATTCTTCTACCCATTTTTTCGTGACATCTTTTACTCAGTGAATAAGGGTTAAAGCTTGTGAATGCTGGCCTAGGAAGTGCATTCATTCATTGGAGTAGAGCTTTTCAAAAGCCAGCACACCAGAGTCCAAAAGCAAGCCTTGAGTCACCAACCTTACTCAGTCGTTTTGCAATCTTTTCCATATTTTTCCCCATCTTTACTGGTTATGGTATATAATCTGCTTTTAGCTCTTTTTTGATCTTGCTTTTACACACATATTTTATACTTTTAGCAACGTTTTTCTTTTTGATGTACTATATATTTATTATATGCTGATATTGAAGCATTCCATAGATTTTCAAATAATTTTTTTATTTGATGAGTAACTCTTGTAAAGCAAGTATATCAACTTCCATGATTGTGTGTGTGTGTGTGTGTGTGTGTGTGTGTGAATATGCCCACTTAGTAACCACCCAGATCAAGATTGAGAGTGATTTCAGCACCCTGTGAGACTCCCTCCCAGCAGTATCTGTACTGCCACCATCTCCATGATCCATACTCTCATCTCTGGGTGATTACGAATCTGACCTCTATTTCCTGTGGCTAATTTTGCCTGGTTGTGAACTTGATATAAATAGAATCATACACTATGTACTGACATTTCATAAAACCCAAGTTTCATTTTAAGGCCGTCCAAATAGTTGTATACATCGGTAAGTTGTTCTTTTTCATTGTTGTCTTGAAATGCCCTGGTGGTGTTGTGGTGACAAATTGAGTAATTAACTGCAAGGTCAGCAGTTTGAAACCAACATCTGTTCCATGGGTTTTCGACTCCTGTAAAGAGTTACAGTTTTGGAAACCCACAGGGGCAGGTCTACCCTGTTCTATAGGTACTGTGGGTAGAAATTAACTTTCTGGCGGTGAGCTATTATGGTTCATTGCAAACCACAATTTATTTAATTGTACACCCATTCCCGTTTCTACAGGATAGGATTGGCCCTGTTAGTTACTGAGATTGTAACTCTTAATGGGAGTCGAAAGCCCTGGCTTTCTCCAGAGGACTGGCTGGTGGGTTTGAACTTCTGACTTCTCAGCAGCCCAGAGTGTACCTATTATGCCACCAGGGTTCCTAGCTACCCCATAGCACAATTTACATATTTACCCATGCCTGTTACTGGTGGCAATTTGAATGTTTTCTGTTTGGGAATACTGCTAATAAAAGTGTAAGGGGCATTGTTTTACACATCTCTCAGTGGACATAAGGTCTCACTTCTTTTTGGTGTATGCTCAGGAGTAGAATTGCTGTCATAGAATATGTATATCTATCTTTGATAGTTAATGCCTAAAACTATGTATTTTTCTGTTTCTTGTCTAACCTGTGATCTACCACAACACTCTGACTGCTGTCAGTAGTCCTTAAAAAATTTTTCTGAAAGGAATGTTATTAAGGAAATACAATTCAGATTTTGATACTGATCAATAGAGTAGTCATACTTTGTGTTTTCCATTTATTAATTTATTAATACCAGATTTCTATTTTGTACATAGACTAATCCCAGACTCTGTGGGAGGATATAGCAAAATACAAGATTCAGCCAGCCCTGCCTAAGGAAACTGAGAGTTGAGGCAGAGGGACGAGAGAATGAAAAGATAGGGGGTATGATTTGTACAGGTAGCATGTGCTTTGGGAGGAGAAGGGCAGTCACTAGACGGGGTGAGTAGAGAAGGCTTTTGAGAAGAGCCCTGTCCGTAGCTGAGCCTCGGGGCGTGGGTGGAATTGAGTTGAAGATGGCGGACCACCCTGAGGAATATTATAACAAGGAGAGGAAAGGCCTGTTTGGTGACCAGCTTTTCCTGGCGAGAATAAAACACGTGAGTTGGGGGTCTCGGAATGAATTAGAAAACCCCATTTTTTCCCTCTGATTTTCTCTGCAGTGAAAGCATCAGAATCACTACAAAGTGCTTTGTCTTTCCTGTTCCCGTTCCCTTGGGGGTATGAACTGGCCAAGGGGCAACACGGAGGATTTTTAGACATTGGATTCTCAGAGAGTGTAGCACCTTCGAGAGCTCTTTGCATCAGAATGTAATTGGAGAATAAATCCCGCCCATAGCATTTAAGAGAGTCAAGAATAGTATTGATAACTTTTGACTGGGGAAATACTTCATTATCTCCCTACTTTGAAAAAGAAATGGAGGCTTTTCAAGTTCAAATATTGAAAAATAATTTTCCTCATGGGTGAAATAGTGGCAATGCCTTTTTGTGAAGCAGATCAAGTTGAGAGTCCTTTTTGTCCCAAGATCATCCTGTTGTAAATGTTTTGAAGAATGACTTTTCAAGAATTTTTTCCTTCCTTTATATTAGTATCTTCAGATAATAAGCATCCGCTATCTAATGAAGCTTCTGCTAGAAATGAAAAAGACTCATCAGACGTAGCACGGAATCAGTCATTACAAGATCATTACAGAATGCACTCACCCATAATCTACCAAGCCCTCTGTGAGCATGTGCAGACTCAGATGTCACTGATGAATGGCTCCGCTCCAAAGAACGGCCCTAATGGAACTGCTGGTGCGCTGCCCCACTGGTTCTGGTTCTGGTTCTGGTAGTGTGCATTGTGTTTTAAAGAGCATGACTGCAAGCCTGCCCCACTGGTTCTGGTTCTGGTT